TTGTACATTCAAATACATTTCTTGCAAATTGAATCATCAAGTAGGCAAGCTTCCTTTTTCCATTATTGTCGAGGTGCATACCATGGCATTTGAAGTGCTGTCTATCAAAGAGGTCAAAATCAATAATATGTATGTTGTTAATACGAGCAACCAACTCCCGGATGTAGTTATTTGCCAAAGCTATGTTGTAGTGTATGACATCATCAGAAGATTTACCGTAACGAGTAGGGATGGTTGTTATACATACTGGTCTGGTTTTACTAAGTTTTTTCAATTCACCTTCCATTTTATCATAAACAACACGAGGAGAGTTCACAGATAAATCATTTGTACCAGCCAGCAAAATTAAAGGTCTCTTCTGAGATTTAGCAGCTTGATTGTATATGAATTAAATTCCCGCTCCTGGTTTGACTAGCCCATCCATCAGGACTTTACCCTGGCTGCACTTAGCAACAATCTCTGGAACCCCTCTTCCTTGGCTCTACTTTGGCTTACTACTCTTCCTTCACCACTTCCTACGTCGCGGACCTGTTTCCTTCCCTTCCAATAGCATTTTAGGATTGCAGATACCTTAATCTAATCGTCATAAACAGTTCCCACACTCCAGACAGCTCGCCTTGACTACTTCCTTCACCACTTTCTACGTCACGGGCCTCAAGGTAGTGTTGTCATTTGATTATGATCCATACAGTTTCTGTTCTAATATCTGTGGAATAATGCTATCAGCTATTTCTTTATCTACTGCATTCAAAAGTCAACAGCTGATCATATACCTTTGTTTATGTGTCAAATACTGCTTCCATAAGGATTACATTGAAACTTTGATTCCCAGTGGGGCGGATTCCATAGAGACTTTTTTAACGCCATATAGATGTTGGCACTCACCGATATGGTCTCTATCACCATACAAAATTTGAAAACGATTGATTCAGCCGTGTAGGAGGAGTTTGCGTATTACGAAATGCATAAGAGTCGACGTATAAGAGCTTCGCTCAACTAGGTGGCGTTCGCAGAGGCATCCACAAAATTGAGCGGAGTCATCAAGGTTTCATATTATATTGTTTTTGTCTTACTGCAGTAAAAACAGTATTTTTTCATGCATGCGCTGCGGGTCTAAAGTAGCATTTTTAATATTTAGGGAGTAAAAATCGTTTTTAGCCTCTATGGAGTAAAAATCAGCTGTTGTCAACTCAGTTGTAAATTTCGATTGTAAACGATTGCATGTATCGAAAATATGTATCGATTTGTGCTTCGTAATCATTTTTAACATATTACAGTCTACAGTCTCTTCCCGTAGCATTTTAGCATTGCAGATACATTAATCCATTCCCAAATTCAACACTGCTCACATTTACTACTTCCTTCACCACACCCTACGTCGTGGACCTGTTTCCCTCTCTTCCCATAGCATTTTAGGATTGCAGATACATTAATGTAATTGCCAAAGACAGTTCCCACACTCTGCGCTGTTAACCTTACTACTTCCTTCACCATTTACTACGTCATTGGCCTGTTTCCTTCCTTTCTCATAGCATTTAAGTATTACAAATTCACTTATCCATCTGCTCAAACGGTTCCCCCACTCTGCACTGCCAGCCTTTACTACTTCCTTCACCACTTACGTCGTGGACCTGTATTCATCGCTTTCCATAGCATTTTAGTATTTTAGATACGTTAATCTAATTGCAACAAACATCCCCACTGTCCGTACTGCTAGACTTTACTACTTCTTTCACAATTTCCTATGTCTTGGGCATGCTTCCATCCCTTCTCATAGCATTTCAGCATTGCAGATACATTAAAACTGCTACAAACGGTTTCCAGTTCCCACACTCCACACTGCTCACCTTACTACTTCTTTCACCTGTTCCTACGTTGCGAATCCGGATCTGTTTCCCTCTCTTTCCATAGCATTTTAAGATTGCAGATACCTGAATCTAATCGTCATAAACAGATCCCACACTCCGAACAGCTCGCCTTTACTACTTCCTTCGCCACTTCCCACATCGCGGACCTGTTTTCCTCCCTTCCCATAGCATTTTAGGATTGCAGATACCCTTATCTTATCGTCATAAACAGTTCCCACACTCCGGACAGCTCGCTTTGACTACTTCCTTCACCACTTCCTACGTCACGGGCCTGTTTCCCTCCCTTTCCCATAGCATTTTTGATTGCCCATACCCTTATCTAATCGTCATAATAGTTCCAACACTCCGGACAGCTCGCCTTGACTACTTCCTTCACCACTTCCTACGTCGCGGACCTGTTTCCCTCCCTTCCCATTGCACTTAAAGATTGCAGATACCTTAATCTAATCGTCATAAACAGTTCCCACACTCCGGACTACTCGCCTTGACTACTTCCTTCACCACTTCCTACGTCGCGGACCTGTTTTCCTCCCTTCCCATAGCATTTTAGGATTGCAGATACCCTAATCTAATCGTCATAAACAGTTTCCACACTCCAGACTGTTCACCTTTACTACTTCCTTGACCTCTTCATACGTCACGAACCTCAAGCTAGTGTCGTCATTTGATTATAGTACCTGGGGACCGAGCTTTGCTCGGGGAAAATCATTAGTTCACTCTGAAAGCACCGTAGTATTGGAGATACATAAATCCACACATCTACATCCTACACAATTTCCTACGTCATGGACCTGTTTCCCTCCATTCCATTGAATTTAAAGATTGCAGATACCTTAATCTAATCGTCATAAACAGTTCCCACACTCCGGACTACTCGCCTTGACTACTTCCTTCACCACTTCCTACGTCGCGGACCTGTTTCCCTCCCTTCCCATAGCATTTTAGGATTGCAAATACCTTTATCTAATCGTCATAAACAGTTCCCACACTCCGGACAGCTCACCTTGACTACTTCCTTCATCACTTCCTACGTCGCGGACCTGTTTTCCTCCCTTCCCGTAGCATTTTAGGTTTGCTGATACCTTAATCTAATTGTCATAAACATTTCCAACACTCCGGACAACTCGCCTAGACTACTTCCTTCACCACTTCCTACGTGGCGGACCTATTTTCCTCCCTTTCCATAGCATTTTAGGATTGCAAATACCTTAATCTAATCATCATAAACAGTTCCCACGCTCCAGACAGCTCGCCTTGACTACTTCCTTCGCCACTTCTTACGTCACGGACCTGTTTCCCTCCCTTCCCATAGCATTTTAGGATTGCCCATACCCTTATCTAATCGCCATAAACAGTTCCCTCACTCCTGACAGCTCGCCTTGACTACTTCCTTCACCACTTCTTACGTCGCGGACCTCTTTCCCTCCCTTCCCATAGCATTTTAGGATTGCCCATACCCTTATCTTATCGTCATAATAGTTCCAACACTCCGGACAGCTCGCCTTGACTACTTCCTTCACCACTTCCTACGTCGCGGACCTGTTTCCCCTCCCTTCCCATTGCACTTAAGGATTGCAGATACCTTAATCTAATCGTCATAAACAGTTCCCGCACTCCGGACTACTCGCCTTGACTACTTCCTTCACCACTTCCTACGTCGCGGACCTGTTTTCCTCCCTTCCCATAGCATTTTAGGATTGCAGATACCCTAATCTTATCGTCATAAACAGTCCTCACACTCCGGACTGCTCGCATTTACTACTTCCTTCATATCACTTCCTACCTCACGGACCTGTTTCCCTCTATTCCCATAACATTTTATGATTGACTTTACTACTTCCTTCACTACTTCCTACGTCACGGACCTGTTTCCTTCCCTTCCCATAGCATTTTAGGATTGCAGATACCTTAATGTATTCGTCATAAACAGATCCTAGACTTCGCACTGCTACCCTTGACTACAATGTATCGAGTAATCTTAAGTATAATCTTTGCTCAATATTAACAAGTGATGTTTTTCCTTTTGTACTGTATTTGTAATTTCCTAGTATACTGTGGGTAGTTGGCTTATTATGAACACATGCTAAAACTTCAAATCTTTTGTTTACTTTTTACTTGTTATTTAATTCAGCCAACATGGTTACCTAGCAACCCATAAGACTAATGTTAAGAAAATGTGATTTTCAGTTTCATTTTTCTACGGATTCCTGAGAGACTTTTTTAACGCCATATAGATGTTGGCACTCACCGATATGGTCTTTATCACCATGCAAAATTTGAAAACGATTGATTCAGCCGTCTAGGAGGAGTTTGCGTATTACGAAATGCATAAAAGTCGACGTATAAGAGCTTCGCTCGCTTCGCTCGCTCCGCTCAATAAAGCTATGATTAAACTGAATTATTTGTATGGCATAACTTTGGGGGACCTTGAGAAAATCTATAACATTGAAATTCATGAACAATTTCAGGCTAAGACTCTAAGAAGAATTATTGCAGGGTGCACCCTGGTTCATAACAAACAATAAAATCTTTCAGAAAATATTTCAAAACTAGCTATCAGTTACCTAAAGAATAAATTACAAATCAAAAGTGATAAGTATCAAGCAAAACTCAAAAACCATTTTAACAGTCTGGCTGTTAAAATGCTGGACAATAGTGACTGAGTAAACAGAGTATAAAGTGTAGTTCATGTTTGGACCTAAAATACAGATTATTTGTTTGAAATGAATAATTCATTAACTATCATAGCAAGAGTTATTGATGGACAGGTGCTTGCATCCACCCACCTCTGTTAATCATTGATAAGATTTTTCTTATTGTTATGGAATTGAACAAATTGTAAAATAAATTCAAATATAAAAAAAATAACTCTGATCTCAACAATACAATCACTGAGAATTTTAAATAATAAATCAATACTTTGAATCAGTTTTGGTAGCTGTTCTTGCTAACATTTCTTGCTTTAGGTAAATCTTTTGTAAAAGAGTAACTTGAGCCGCCTTTACTTGAGGCCAGTAGGCAGGCTGGTTACCTCAGTGCAGATGATCTGCCTGCCCATTCACCTTGTCTAAACATAGCTTTTGTAATATTTTATAGGAATTGAATTATGTTTACTTATTATTGTTATATCAGGTTTACAACAGAGAGGAGTGGAGGGGAAGAAGTCCCCGGGAGACTCCAGTCATGTACACTCCTGTCACAAAAGTGGTCCTCTCCAGGACTGAGACCGAACCTTGCTATACACACGAGGACTGTAGTTTACGGGTCAGAGAGATGCAGAATATCCACATGGATGAGGAAGGAGAGCCTGACATCAAATACCAGTAAATATATTTTAAGGTATTTTTGTAGTTATTTTATTAAAGTCTGAAAAAACAACTTTGTGGAAAATATTTTATATTTAATCATTATCATTATTACTTTACGACGGCAACTCCATAGATTAAAAATACTCCCTTATAATGATAAATGTAAACATTTAAAATAGAAAGCCCTCACTGACTCATTTGGCTGAAATTTGGTTTACTGTACTTGTTATTCAGGTTACAAATTAATAGGAAAATTGACAGTATTCGTAATGATTTTACCAAAGGGTTGCACTCAAGAATCCCTTCCAATGTCATCCTTATGGAAATTCAATTTTATATTTTTACCAAAAGAACTTATTTATAACGTCTCTTTTAAAATGTTTGTGTTTTAAAATTTTTACCAAAATTGAAATATTTTTAAGTTGATCGGTTTTTGTAACCAAATATACCTACTTCTAAAGTGTTCTGTGGTTGGATTTTATGTATTTTGATACTTCTTTTAAATACTACAGCTTATTTTTGTAAATTTTATTTTTTTGTGTAACTTATTTTTATATGATCTTTAGATTCGCATGTTTAGCTTATAATTATAATTTTTCTTTATTAAAAAAATACAGATCTTGGATTTATACCTAACTAGCAGAGTACCCGTCCTTCGTACGGGGTTGGCATATAAGTATAAAATGTTTATTGCAGTTATGCTCAAGCTTTCTGTTTGCAATGGGCAAGGACACAGTTTGATAACATTTGCTTCTTTATATTTAAGGTATACTATAGTATTACACATCAACCATAGCCATAATGTTCTACCACTAAAAAAATATCAAAAATTCGCAAAATATCACCAACTATTCATAAAATTAAAAACATAAACATAACTGTAATCAATCCTTCTTTGACAGTTCTCATTGCGTATCACAGTTTTTAATGCTTAGTTCAAATTATATTAGCTGTTTTCATAAATGCAAAAAAAAATTGTCCTGCACTCTGTTGGTAAATCCTATAACTTGTTAATGCTTTTGCATATCATAGAACAAACCTTTTTATTTGAAACAGCTGACTAAATTATTTTATTCCCTTTAAATATGAATAGGTACTCATAAGGTTAACATGGGGAACTACAGAGCCACTGGGGCGGAGCCCGAAAGGATTTTTGAGATAAGAATATGCCTATATGTTAATCGGGAATGTAAGCTATCATCATGCTAAATTTCAGCCCAATCCGTCCAGTAGTTAATGCGTGATTGATCTTCAAACAAACAAACAAACACCCAAACTTTCACATTTATAATATTAGTAAGATAAATGTACAAAATACCTTCTCTGTCACCTTTTTGGTAGCGTTTGGACACCTTCTCATTTGGAAAAAGATTTTTGCTCACTTTATGCTATCAGCTATTTAATCTATGGATGGTCCCCCAACAATTGTAACGGGTACAACACTAAACATCTTTTAAAGACTAAGATCATGGACTTATAGACCACAGTGATACACGATACAACTATATCCTTACCAATATTCAAAACCAAGAAATGCTTAAGCCGACAACAGACAGTTCAATGTAAATCAGTGAATTGATTGTCTGAATTGTGTTTGTCAGTTCAAAATTGTCCATGACACCATTGGCAATGTTTATGATCAATTCAATGCTTTAATATGGAAGCGAAGCCAAGGGGTTGTGATATCACTCACTCTTGTTTGGAGATCACTCCATCGTCGGATGCGTAGTCGTAGTACACTAAACTACATCACTTATTCATACTAAATAGTACATATACAACACAAAACACAACACGACACGAAAACATTAAAGCACGTGCAAGGCTAAAAAACTGAAGACCGACTGATCGAGATTTATCTTATCACTGCAAGAGGAGGTGGACGACTGGAACAGCTGATAACACGTGTACCAACTTAGCTGCTCAATGCATAGGCTTATGCTGTTTGATTTGTATTATTTTCTCAAAAACGAGGTTGGTTGATGAATTAGTCTGGATTAATAACTAAGTTAGGTTATTCGGCTGTTCTGGTGTAGATGTGGAAGTTTTCAATACAATTAAGTTTACGACCTTTGCTGCCAATAAGGAATATTTATAAACTATTGATTTCAGATTGGCCGTGGCAATATTATGGCAATGGTGGTATTCCTTTGTCATGGAGCTGACAACTTACATTGAAGGTTATTGCTAGTTCTGTAACTTCTGTAAGATGAATTACGTAACTAAATAATATAGTAACCTAGTAAAATAAACTATAGGTAGTCTACATTTCTCGCCTCAGGCATTTGTTCACGGATGTGATTGGGGCCCTTTTGCAGTCTAAGAATGACCCACAAGTCTCTGGTCAGGTATATGTCAGGGTGATGCCAACTTAATGCCTACCCCACTTTCTTCTGTTCTGTTCTGGGCCGTGATGCAACTGACTTTGGCCATGGCAGCAGTCAGAGTGTTGTCACTGTGTCGGGAAACTAGTCGGAAGGAGAGGTGGAGGCAATGTCAGAATTTGTCACTTAACCCTGCATCCGGTAACTACAAACATCAAGAATCAAGAATCAAGAATATTTATTTGCCATTCTTGTTGTATTGATGTTGTTGCCATTCTTTCCATTATTGTCGAGGTGCATACCATGGCGTGTGAAGTGCTGTCTATCAAAGAGGTCAAAATCAATAATATGTATGTTGTTAATACGAGCAACAGTGTTGATACTCTGTACTGGCAGGCCAATTTTTACTGTAGGCTATGTACATAGGTTACTTTAGAGCTGTATAAATTGTGTTCTACCATACATAAGTATCTTACATACTAAAAAAAACTTTTGTAAAACTTACGACAGCTAGCCCGGCCATACTACTGGATCGAATTACACGCAGTTGGTTGGTACCTACCAAATGAAAGATATTTTCCTATAGATGTGCAGAATCCATTTATAAATTAAAATAGGCTCAAAAATAAGCACGAAAAATGAATTTGAAATAGAAAATACCCCCGCCGCAGCAAACCTGCAGACTAAGCGAATTTCAACATGTCTCATACATTTTTACTAAAATATTTCCATAAATAAGACATACAGTATTTATTTCCAATTCAAATAACATTAGATTTAACGAGTGCTTAGGTTTGCTGCTACGGGGAAGGTTGTTGTGAATAACTGAACCTTTTTAGAAAATAAGGCTTTAATAAACTTATATTCTTACATAGCTGGAAAGGTAAACAAATCTCTAATACAAAAAACAAGTAAGGCCAGGCGCACACAGGCGATTTTGAGTCGCGCAACAGTTGCCCGACTAAAATGTTCAACATTGTTTTAAATTGGAGTGCGCACACAAAGAAAACAGTCTGGGGACAGTCGCGCAACTGTTCCCGGACCCAATTTGCCAGCGACTGCTCTGCGACTGAATTGTTGCGGGACTATCGCTCCTGGTTTGGTATCCATTGAAACGAGTGTAGATGCGCACACATGCAACTAAATAGTCGCTGTGTCGCCCAGTCTCACCCCAGGAGTTCAACTACTCGTGGCCAGAACTGTCACTAGTGTTTGCTCACTTGTTGTTGTGTGTGTGAAGTTTTTAGAAAATTACATGTATGAGTGTGCGTGATGAGGATGTCGAACAATTATTTGATGAAGTTGAGAAGAGGTTGATACGAAATTGCTGGTCTCACAAGTGTTAACAGTTCATCAAAACTCCCGACACTCATTCTTGAATATTTGAAAAACTTCTCTGGGTGTTCTCTTAAGTCATTGTACAAAATGGAACTGTCCTTTCACAAGTCGCTCACTATATATGGGATGAACCACGAACCCAGTATCTTCTCTTTTTCTTTCGCACGCGAAACTTCAGCAACAAAGCACATACAACGGCTGTATCATTGAAATCCATTCGGAACGCTGTAACGAATGTATTTCCAACACGGTCTCAAACTAGATTCACGACTAAAAAGTTGCCTGTGTGCGCACTCCAGCTCAACTGTCGCTAGACTTCAGAGTCGCGGAGATTAGTCGGGCAACTGTTGCGCGACTCAAAATCGCCTGTGTGCGCCTGGCCTAAATAAATACTTCAGCTGATTACTAAGAACAGTAATTCATAACATTCTCCCCCTCAAAATTTAAACAATGTAATCAGCGAGGTAACTTGGTGGTTTTCTTGATCTTTTCGGCCTTTCTAGAGGTTGGTTTTCTTCAGAATCTTGTTCAGGAATGAAGTTCGGTTGATTATCATCATTTGGATAATCATCATGGTCTTGAATATCAAATGGAGTGACATTCTGTTCTGGATTCACATTTGGTTCTGGATTGATGTTCGGCTCTGGAATGTTATGTGGTTGTGATTCATCTGCCACCAGTTGAGGATTATCTTTTAGCGTTGGAAGGCCTTGGTTTTCTAGTAGACTTACATCCCCCCTTGGAGATAGGTGCTTGAGGGATACAGTTGACTTTCTTCCATCATTGTGTTTAACCAAGGCATAATGAGGATTAGCATCCATCAGCTCTACTTCCTCAACTAAAGGATCAAATTTTGATGGTCGAACATTTCTTTTTAAGAATATCGGTCCTGGTTTCATGAGCCAAGCTGGTAGTGAGGTGCCACTGAGGATGAATGAAAAACCTTTCATGTGGTGTACTGTTAGTCAAACTGTTAGTGGTGGCTATTCCTCTTTCATGAAGGTAGTCTCTGAGTTCTTTTGAAAGAAAAGATGTCCCTCTGTCTGAATGAATGTAGTTTGGCATTCCAAATATTGAAAATAGATTTTCTAAACAGCGAACCACTGTGTTTGAGGACATATCACTGCATGGATATGCAAAAGGGAAGCGTGCATATTCATCGTATTGTCAATAGATATCGATTTTGTGTGCAAGATGGCAAAGGACCCTTATTAAAATCTACATTAAGTCGCTCAAAAGGTTTTGTGGCCTTGATAAGGTGAGCATTTGTAGTTTTATAGAAACGAGGTTTAATCTCTGCACACATTGGGTATTTGTTTGTCATTGTTTTAACATCCTCAACCGAGTAAGGAAGGTTTTTACTTTTTACCCAGTGGTACATCCTAGTGATACCAGAGTGG